CCCAGGGCCAGCGGCCGGGCTGGGCCCCCGAGCCCCCGACCACGCGAGCCCGGGCCCGGGAGCGCCCGCACTGCGACCCTGGGGGGGGGGTTCGGGGTCAGAATTGGGGGGTTTGGGATCGTTTGGGGTATTTGGGGTCATGTTTGGGTCAGGTTTTGGATGGATTTGGGGAATTTGGGACCCCCCGAGCTGCAGAGAAAGCGCATTTAAATTGATTAAATGAAAGAATTAATGGCTCAAACCGCAGAACAACGGCACAGCCTCGACCGCTGCCGGCGCTGGACTGAGCGTGAGGGAAACCCCGGCGCCCCCTTTTATCATCTCGGTAGCCCCGCCCCCTTTGGCGCCCTTCAGCCAATCACGACGCCGCTCGCCTCAGAATAGCCCGCCATTTTTCCCGCCCTTTTCTTTCCCTATCAGCCAATCAACGCACGGGTATGCCACTGGCAACAGACGCTGGCCAATCAGCGAGCGGTAGAGAAAGGGCGGGAAACGCTCAGCCAATGAGAGCGCCGGGCGCCTCACGGTGCGCGGCCAATCAGAGCGCGGCGGCCGCGAGGGAAGAAGGGCGCAAAATGGCGGCCGAGACAAAGCGGGGCGGCGGTTGAGGGGTCTGGGGGATCCAGGTGGGTTTTGAGGGGGATTTGAGGGATTTTGGGGGGTCCCAGGTGGGTTTTGAGGGATTTTGGGGGGTCCCAGGTGGGGTTACGGGGGTCCCTGAGGAGTTTTCTTGAAAATTTCAGGAGCTTTGGGGGTGATTTTGTGGAATTTTGGGGGATTCTGGATGGGTTTCGTTGAGGGTTTGGCGGATCTGGGGGGGTCCCAGTGGAATTTTGGGTTGAATTCTGGAGACTTTGGGGGTTCCCAGGTGAATTTGGGGTGAATTTCGGGAGGGATTTGGGATCACGGGGTCAGATTTGGGAGCTTTGGGGTGGATTTTGAGGTCTCTGGGGGGGGCCCCCTCTTTCATTTTGGGGTTTTTGGGTTCCCACTTCCCAATTTTGGGGTTCCCACTTCCCATTTTTGGGGTCTCTTTCCTCTTTTTTGGGGCCCCCGCCCCTCCCCCCTCCCCCTTCTGTCGCAACCCCCCGGAATTTGGGGGGGGAGGGGCGGGGGGAGCGATTTTGGGGCTCGAGTTCCCAATTTTGTGATTTTTTTTTTTTTTGTTCCCTTTTTTGAGATTTTTTCCTCCTC